ACAGTTGGTCGTAATCTTATTTAGTATTATTGTATGAATTTGAGCTGACGACTCTTAACAAAAAAGCTTTGTACATCTTTATTGATGATACATTCATAGACATCCATATATGTACGCTGACAACTTCTTCACATAATAATTAGACAATTAGTCCTGACTATTATACAGACTGAGGTAACCTATGTATGAGTGCATAGCCTTCATAATTCTCTCTTGACACGTTTTGAACCCATGTAATCTTCCAATGCTTTCCTGTTCATCTTTAGCCAATGCTGCCGATTGCGAGCGATTTCCAAGTTGACGTTTAAGCACGTCTAAGTCTCGTGCCGAGCTTTTGTGATCCACGAGGAACCTCTCAAACTGAAAATCACCGATGTAATCAAATACATCTGAAATATTTTGGCGGTTGAGAAACCATTGGGAGCATTGAGATTGATCCCCTTCCCGTGCAAGACGGCGCAGGAAACCCGCACGTGACTAAAAAGAAACAGCGAAAGCACTCGTACCGGCTGAAGGAAAACCTAAGGGGAAATGGTACACTGGTACGCAAAGGCACTAGCCAAAAGATACAGAATTGTAGGGTTGCTACAAAGAGGATCATCGGTCTTCCCCATGACTCCCCCTTTGCCTATGCCGACAGAGAATTGACGTCATGGAGGTCCGTCCTTTGCGTCTCATCTAGCCCACATGCTTCCTCTTCCTGACTCCCACTGTTTCATAGTTTGAAGATAGTACTAGGCTAAATGAAGCTCCAAAGTGGGCCATATGCACAAGCTTTAGGTGGCTTTTGCCGTCCTCTCTGCGGTAGGTGCCTACAATATCCTCTTCTGAGCTTCTCGTGTACCGACAGGAGGCCAGTCGTGCGGCGATTTGGCAGAGACGCAGACGGTTGGCGGACGAGTCGCAGCGCGTACTGTAGCGATTTAGCGTCAACGTGAATAGAAAGTGTCATAATACGTCCCACAATGCACAGTTCGCCCGCTGACCCGTACCGACGCGTCACTGCCATCTCCTCGCGACGGGCCTCTTGTCAGGTACCCGAGCTAACCGCATTCCGAATATGTATTTTACTCAAAAACTCTGCGTACTCGTTCGACTTGATGCGCTCCACAAACGAAGTCACAGTTTCGCTTCTCCTCCTCCCCCTTCCTAGAAAGAGTCCACAAGGAAAATTCCTTTGAACATAAGCTAACGCAACATCCCGTACCTGCTTGATCTCTCGTTCGCTGTTGAGAGACACAGCATTTTCTAATACTGCTGACAATCCACACGATCCTGAGAGAACCTGGAATTCTCATTTTCAGGAAAATCCAAATCAGGTCAGCTGACTCACCTGTCCGTCACTTCTTTCCAGTTGTCCAAAATAAAATCGCTGACGATTTCGCTCCCACCGGTTGACCGTTCATCGCTGCGATCAGCGGATATATCCGACTTGTGAAGTGAAGCTTTTCCTGGATTCACACACTCATACATCAACCTGAAAACAAATCTTTGATGGTCTCCATGTCCGTCTTTCTTGAAGTTTCGGCAGTTTTCATATGTGTTTTACTTCTTCTGTGCCTGACAGGTTTTTGATGGTGAAATATTCATTTGTCCCACGTTTCGACGCAATCGTCATTTTCAAAGGTCTGGAAGCTTTTCGGAAGCTTTTCTAACTTTACCTGTCGCTCAACACGAACATGCGCTGAGCTATCAACTCTAAGAAGGAAGGCCTTCAGGACATGAAGCGCTTTTTCAAAATGGTTTCCTTTAGGAGGCTCATAAATAAGAACACAGATTTTTTTAAAATGATCCATTTCTTCTCACTGAACCCTTTCCAAGAATGTCAGACAGTGGCGAAGAAAATGGTCTAGAGTTCACGTGCCGTGACCGACTGATTTTGCAATAATGGTTTGGCGAACCCACATTGCGCCAAACAGCCGCCATGCGTCGCGACGAGATGTCATTTATCGGTTTTTGCGGGCGATTCGAAATGGTGTCAAACAAAAGAGAAATCCACTTTGACCCATATCTTCTCCGCGGTTTTTTTTGGACTATCTGGAGGCGTGTCACCGACGAAATGAACCATTGGGTCTGTATTCTCACAATTGAGGCATCCACAAAATTTAGAGAATCACTCTAAAAGAACGATCCATGTCCTGAAAGACCCCCTTGCTAGTCCCAACGAACCACAGGATGAATTCCTTGATTCTATCTAAGGCGAGTAACGCGTTCCTAAAATTGACACTCTATGCTCCGCTAGTCTAATGTTGTTAAGTTAGCGTTTGAGCGATAAGGTGAAGTTACGAGAGTTTAGGAAAATCTTTTTAGGCCTTTGACAAGAAGCAGATTGCCTTCGACACGTCAGGCAAATAATATTCCATCATACAAAATATTTGTCAAGGCCAGAAGAAATAAAAAACACATGCAAATTCTTTGGATCGAGTTACTGTACAAAATCACTCATATGACAGGAAAATAAAGGGGAAATAGAGAAAAACGTACTTTCTCAGTTTCCTGGGATCTCTGCTGCATGCTAGTGCATCTGTCAGTCTAATCTTTTCCGCCGCGTTGACCTCCGTTCGTGATAGCTGATGAATTCGCTTGAATTCCCTTACGCTCCTTGGGACACGCCAGCACAGTACACCATGGAACGACCAGTGGGAGGAACACTAAACTGGTGAATTATGTGACTGTGAACTGTGCATTTGGTAAGCCTGTACCATATTCACCGAATACGCATTCCCACGATGAACACTGTGTCGTAAGCCATAGCGCTGAAACGGTACCCTCCCCTTCAAAAAGCCAGAAATTGTGCGGTGCAGACCATACACCACAAGTGACGACGGCCTCAAAGTAAATCTGGTTAGTAGTGGTTCATAGTGATAGCTGATTTTTAGTAAATGATAGTTGTAATTACTGTCAACTGATCGAATACAACTGTAACAGGTTAATCATTTCATTGGCAAAAAACATTTGCATTTTCTGGAGGCCGTCGTCACTTGTGGTGTATGGTCTGCACCCGACACTTTCTGGCTTTTTTGAAGGGAGGGTAGGTGACACGATTTTCTATACCATGAAGAAGAGAAAATGTGCCCACTATGAGGGGAGTAGGGCTTCCACGGCGCACTTCAGCGGGCGAAGGGATAGCTTGTAGCGGCTTAAGGAAGCCCTTACTCGTTCCTCGCTCTCTTCCGTCCACCAATTGGCTACCCTAGCTGCCGGACCCTCGACGTTGAACTCCAGGCGCTTCAGTAGAAGAGCAAAAGCAGCGCGTTAACCTTGATGACGTCAGCACCGATGTGACTTGCCAAAAGCGGAATTCGACGGGGAAATCGGTGTCCTATCAGCTTAGCGGTGTCGGTTACTTCCTTGTTACCCTCAGCTTTCATAGTTGGGACCTGCATGAATCTCTAGTGATTCAGACGGAAGGGGAGGGGAGTAGAACCTCCTGCATCTTATTCATGGAGTAGACTCTTCCACTTAGCTGACTGCAGAATTCGCCTTTCCCTATCTTGAACTGACCTTGAGCAGACGCTTGCGATACTTTTGTTCGAACATTTGGCCAACACGTTTGCCTCGAACTGTTGAGTCAGTTTCTTAGTGCAATCGTCGGGCGAGAGCTTACAGTAAAGCTGAACGATTTCTCTTTTTGTCCTGCTGAAATGAAATTAGCTCTTACTGCAACACGTATGTTTAGTGATCGACGAAGCGGTGAAAGAAGATGGGTTCTAATTCTCAAACATGTACTATCCGAAAAACTTTCGCACCAAACCTTTCAAGAATGTCGTCCCCGTCGGCAAAGCTCAAGCTGTCAAAATTGATTGTGTTGAAGACTGTCGTCAGCTTCTCCAAGATGAATGCCTTGAAATTCTCGTTGTAGTCTTATAAAATTTTGATCATCATTTTGACAAAGAGGATCTGAGGCTAAATTGCCTTTTTGAAGCCCGCGTTACTTTCCGCTTACGTTTTAACCGCTCTCCTGAGCCCTTTAATCATGACAGAGCGATTTTTTGGAAAAATAATAGAGTGGATGGGGAACTCTCTGACGAACACGAACTCGGCTGCACAAGCGCGTCGCGGTCCGCGATGAGCCACGTGAGGCGCACATCAGTTGAGCTCGTCAACGCTTTGGCTAACTGTTGGACAGATATGCACCTCCACAATTTGACGACCTTTTTGGGGCTGGAGCTCGCTTGAAGGTCTAGGTTTACTCGTGTGTGCGGTTATTGCAAGTGCAATGATTCACGCCAGAGGGGAAAGCTTGTTCCCTACTGTTCGTGCAGAGAGCATAATCTGGGTACCTGACGACAGGCCCGTCGTTCAGCGAGAAGGCAGAGATGCAGACCGGTCAGCGGGGGATGCGAGGCAAGAGTCCCCCTGAGGTCGCCGCGCAAGCGAAAGTAGGTCACCGCACGCGGCGGCTACCGTATCCCTTCGCAGTTGGAACGTGGCAATTTGCTAGGACTAAGCTAAAACAAATGCAGAAATGGGGACTACACAGACGGAACAAAAAAGTGTTGTATCGATCGTCTAGAGAGGCGGGTCCTAAACTTGGCCAATTGCCATGTTTCAAACTGCAAAAACGCCGGCGACGTCGCGCGCGGTGACCTAGTTTTAGTGTCGCGTGGAACTTTTTACCGTCTCTCGCCAGCGGGCAAGTTGCAGCACTAATGTGCGATGTTGGACGTACTACAGCACACTTTATTTACCCTGACGCTAAACGGCTACAGTACGTCTGCTGAACCGCTGCGCCGGGATACCCGACACGAGGCCCGTCGCGCGGCAAGATAAGAAAGTAGGGCCACGAAGAGCACAGACGGTACTGGTAGATAAATCTTCGCTGTCATTTAAATAGAGTTTAACCATTTACTGCCCTACATCCGCACATCTCGCGTATACGATCCCCATTCGCGACCTGCCTTCTTGCCGCGCGACGGGCCTCCTGTCGGGTACCCGTCCGCGCCTCTGTCGTCTCGCCGCGCGGTGGGCTTTCTGTCGGATACCCCATAATGTGAAAGGGTAGTAGATGGTACTGTCGAGTGATCGTTCTACGGCTCACGAACGACTTGCTCCCAAAACACAATGTCAGCCCGGACATGTCAGTGGAGCTGCAGTCCTTAACCGCGTCATGCGGTGCTGGAATTCCATGCAGGGTCATGGCGACGTTTGCCTGATTTCACACTCCCATACCCATTTCATACAGCTGAGGTGTCGAAATTACCCAACGTGCCAACTTTCAATTTTGGCATCAAAATCGGAAGAGTGCGTACGTGGAGATGCAGTGTTTGGTGCTCGTTCAAGCAACTTTTCATTGGAAAATTCTTCCAAAGAGACGGATCCTCCCCTTCATCTGGAGCTCACATTAGACTAATACCATTATTTTCGCGTGGCTTTTATTATGGGCGAATACCATCCCATGCAAATGAACTCCAGCTCGGTTAATTTTTGGACTAACGGTATTGTAGCACACATGTTGTAGGGACGCATGTAGGGGACCACAAAACCATGTTTCGTTTTCGCTGAACGGTTTTAGTAGTACCAAAAAAGTGGTGAATAATACTCTTGATGGTTCAATCCCCGCGGCGACTAAATTTTGCAATCAAGGTTGGCGGCCACTTGTTGGCTTCAAAATGGTCCTGACGATGAATTTGACATCTGATTTTCGATATTTACCGCGATTTGGCACCAAACCCGTAGGCGCCAACCCAAATGCAAAATTTGTCGCCACGGGGATCGAACCCTTTAACAGTAGTTATGCTTCTTTTTTGGTACTGCTATAACCGTTCAGCGAAAATGAAACATGGTTTTGCGTTCCCATACATGCGTCCCTACAATATGCACAAAACCGTTTTGAAAAAGCGCACCTTTGCCCTGAAGACCTCCCTTGTAAGTAGCCCCACGGTTCCATGTGGACAGCGCTATTCACGCGAGAAATGCTGTTATAACTTGTTTTCCATCAGATAGAAAGATGGATTCAAAGACTTAACACTACAGCGCAACAGTGTTCACGTACCTTAGTACTTTCTTCGAGATCAGTATCCGAGACACGGTTGTAAGAGATTGTCTAGCGCTTTCACAGCAGCCGACCACGGCAGGAAGTCCATTTCTTTGGGAAGATATGATATTCCATGCCGAAGTTGCATGTCTGAAACGCTCACAGGTAATCCACTGCCAGCCGGATTCCGCAAAAGATTTGGTCACCTCCTTCGTTGACGGCAGTTGCCGCAGCTTCGGCAAGGGCGAGAGCGTCAGAAATAAACCTGGTGCGCGCAGATGGGGAATACTTCTGAAACAGTACTAAGGTGATATCAGCCTGTCAGAATCCTCTCAAGAAGAAGAAGCTGAGATAATGTTGAGTGAGGTAGGCCATGTACTGTTATCTCCATGATGCTCAGTCGAGTCAATTGCGCCCCTGACCCACTTCAGCATGGCCCCTATTGGTGACCTGTCTAAAAAACCCTGCGTCTACTGGCATTGCGCTGCGGAATCATCGCCCTTCAAAGCAGTGAGTTAAACGCTCGCTCGCGACTATTCAACACAAGTGGTGTCTGCCACTTCGTCATTTCAATGAAGGGGGTTTTGGTTTTGTAGCAAGGTTGGCCAGTCTATCTAACGCTCTGAATGATAGGTGAATCGCGGATTTTTGCCTTTCCCCATGATAAAGCCACCCCTCCCTCCCTTCCGCCTCCCGGCTGGTTTTAAAGTGGAGAATATCAGGGGGGCAGAGTGGGGCTGGAGTAGAGTGTGTCGACTGGGACTCAGAGCCAAATACTGTAGAAACACCTGTGATGGTGAGGGTGGTGATCGGGGTAGGGAGAAAAGGCATCGTGTTGGGTAGTCTTCCAAAGCAGGGTCAAGCGTGCGTTGAGGAATCCTCGACATGTCACAGAGGGGGGGGGGGTCGTATTGGCCCGCTGGGGAGAGATCGGGCCCGATTGATACAGTAGATCATCGTCGGAGGACAAACATTAAGGATCGAATCGATACCAGGCCAGAGTATTTCCAATAACAATTGATTCCGTCCACACAAAATCTTCGTGATTTAGAGGTGTCCGCTTAGCAATTCTTAGTGACTTTAGTGTTTCATCACCACACAAGTCAAAGGATCCGAAATTCGCACGTTTTCTAGGGATATTTTATCTTTCAAGTAGGTCCTCAAATCCAACGAGATGTGAAGCACACGGCGCATCCCAGAGTGGGCCCAGTTGGTTGCGCGCGCTTCAGCTACGGCTATCTTGATAACGAATCTTAATTCAGGAAGAATCAAGAGGGTTCTGAAAGAGTTCATGTTAAATTACAGAGAGGAGTACACTATTCAACAAGAAACGCAGCCTTCAGCGTCAAATTCACAAGCATGTAACCTTTAAAGTTGAGACCCGCTAAACAATTTTACACTTTTTGCAGAGAGAAAAGCACGAGGATTTTGAATCTGCTCCTACTTCAGTATGTAATCGCTCCTGCAAGGAGCTATAGTCGTTGGGATAGTGCTAATGTAGCGAAAAAGTACCTTTCGGCGGTACTCGGGCAAAAATCCTCAACGTGGCCATTTTTTAAATAGTGAACGTATTTAGCAGTTTTAGTTGCCTATAGAAAGAGCAAATCTTCTAGTTTATGATGACGTATTAACTTTCCAGATTGCATGAGTTTGAACGGAGTTATGGCTTTGGAAAGCGTAAAAACTCGCACTCATCACGAATTTTCCTCGTTAATTTTGCAAAAATCCTCAACGTGGCCATTTTTTGAGTACTGGACGTATGAAGCTGCTTTAGCGACCGTTTGATAGAGAAAATCTTCTAGTTTTGTATGACGTATCAACTTTTTGAATTTGACGGAAATGAAGCAAGTTATTGCTCCGGAAAGTGTAAAAACTCGTGCTCGTCTCGAATTTTCCTCGTTATTTGATCTAAATTTGTTATTTCTTATAACTTGCTC